ATGAACTCAGCTTCCTGGAAATTAATGCTCCACTGGAATATACTGAAATAAAAACAGAGTACAAAATGGACTCATATAATTTAATATGAAATTATTTTATAAATCACCACAACGACAACCACCACAAACACTCACCACTACCAGCCAACAAAACACTCAACACTACCTGCAAAAAAACACCCAACACTGATTTAAATTTCACATGGAATAAAATCAACAAATAAATCTAAAAAAGTGAACAAATCTTTTTCAAAATCTCTTAATTTTTTCAAACAAAATTCACAATGCCCGAGTGTGGAGGCTTAGAAGTTAGAAGAGAGGCATAGTTACGGCTTGAAGGCTTGAGCTTGGATCAAGACGTGACGGGCTGCCGTTCGCCGGCGACCTTCCCTGGCGGCGACCCATGCTCATCCTTGCTCAAATCCGGTCATGGCTGCAGTGTTTTCTTTAATTGGTAAGGAGAGAGGGAAGTGAAGAAAGAGAAGAAAAAAAAAACAAAAGAAAGAGGAGAAGAAGAAGAAGTAGAAAAGAAGAGAAAAAAATATACATACATATACTTTAGTCACATAATTACCTAAAAACCCTTAGTTAGTTGATAATTACCAAAAAACACTATGACCGATTAGACCTACACACTCAAATTACCTAAATGCCCTTTATCCTTTGACTTTTTTGACCTTTTGGAAAGTGCGTGTTCACGTCAAGTGATTTTTTTTTGGGGGGTTCTAATATATTAGAAAAATACTGGGGGCTTTTGTAATTTAAAACAAATGGGACCACTCGACAAATTAAACTTTATTTATTAAAATATATTTAACTAATAAGACAAAACAAAAGCAAAATTGAATTTGTTCGCAACGATTGGCAAAATTAGGATTGAAATTGGGTTGTGTGAAATCCTCTTCTTCATTGTTCTTCTTCTGTACTGTCAATTGTTTGTAATGTTGGGTTGAAGACATAATTGTTTCAAGCTTGGGATCGTTGGTTAGCTTCTGTACACCAAGTGTTCGATAAATTGCCTCAGTTGGATTTTTGTTACATCACTTGAGGTTGAATATCCCAAAATCTACAACTCACTGGCAGTGTGAGGCTTCCACAAACTCACCTCTCTTACAACACTCAGGACTAGTAAATACCCAAATGCTGTCTCTTTTCTAGGGGAAGAGATGAAGTTGCCAACTTCTCCAACTTCTATGAAAATTGAAAGCTTCACAGAATTGAAATACCTATCTCCCAAAGTTTTCCAAAATCTCACCTCTCTTGAAGGGTTGTCAATCTATGGTTGCCCAAATCTTACATCCTTACCATAGCCTAGTTGATACAATGGTTGACTCGTGGTGTGGATCTTATCGTAAGCCCAACTAGAATTGGATTATGACATTAGGCTACATAGTAAATGTTTCGTATTGAACGTGATAAAACTCATTACGATTTTTTACCCATACAACACGTTAAATTATTTAAATGAAACTTTGTTTTTTTACATGCTTTGCTCCCGATTAGACATTTGTTAATTTACTTGCAACATAGAAATTTTTGTTATTCAATCATTCCCAAGGGTATTATTTCATTATTTTTTTTTAATATAAATAAGGATATATGTAAGTATTCAATTATTAAACTTTTATTGGAAAAAGATATATGTCAATTTAATCCAGCGGTCCTTCTATTTTAAAATTTTACGTTGAATTATTAATTTAATGTACATAATTGTATTAATTATTAATTGTTGAAAAAAAATTAAATTTGTGGATATATAGTTACCCACCCCGTACTGATTACAAACCCAATGAGTTTACCCATTCTTACCCAAATCCAATCCTTAATGGGGTGGGGTGAACCCAACCCAAATAAACTGGGTTGGGTGGGAACTTGACCCTTGGATGTCCATTTTCCATTTTAATTATTCATGGTGAAGCGTTGAGAGGAAAGGAAGAAACCTCTCAAACTTTTCATTTTCTGGGTCTCTTTCTTCTTCTCCTAAACTTTTCATTTCTTCTTTTAGTTTCTTTATCACAAATTCAAATACCAATTTCCATCTCTTCATCTTGCAGACACTGATTGCTTGCAGAATCCACTGTTAAGAAATCCAGAAGACCCTCATCACTAATCTCAGGTAAGGAAAAATAATCTTCATATCACCACCACTTTTATAATTGAGTGTGGAGAAATTTAACAAAACAATCATTATTATTTATAATTTTAAAGTAGCTTCAGAATTAATTAATCATCATACTTAAAGAGTTATAGTTTATTGTATTTGGGTATGTAATAGTTCAAGGATCCATAGCTTCGGAAAACCAGTTTCTCTTACTTTCACTCTCACTGTTCTTAATAATTATCAATGGTGTGAAATAGTTTATCACTGTTCTTAATAAGAATCCATGGTTTTTTTTTTTTTTTTTCCTGAATGTCTCAAAATATGTATTTAGAAAACTGGTAAGGCCGTGTCAGTACCAGACTTGGTTCAAAGGTTCAATTGCACTGTCCTAAAAAAGTTCGATAACTGTTATTACTACAAGAAAATTACATTCAAATTTGTAACTGATTATCATCGTTCTCTTTCTTGATTGTTGATCTTCATCTGATTATCACCTTTCTCCGTATGAGAATTTTCATTCATTCTTATCATTTCTTCCTACGTAGTCAAAACCATGCCAGTGGGAGAAGTCTTTCTTGGTGCTTTTCTTCAGGTGTTGTTCGACAGATTGGCGCCGCGTAAGCTGTTGCTCTTTCCATGTGAAGATGGGATACGTTCAGAGTTGAAGCAGTGGAAGAGGAAGTTTCTAATGATCCAGGCAGTGCTCAACGATGCCGAGGAGAAGCAACTGACGAACGAGGCTGTGAAAACGTGGATGGAGGATCTCCAAGACTTGGCTTATGATGCGGAGGACATCCTGGATGAATATGCCACTCAGGTTCTAGAGCGGGAATTGATGACAGAGCAATCGACAAACAGAATTGCTGAATATTTCTCTTCTTGGACTCCAAGTGCTCTGATTTCCCAGGCTGATATGAAGTCAAAGATAGAAGAGATAACTTCCCGTTTAGAAGATCTCTGTGAAGAAAAGAATGATCTTGGCCTGAAAGAGATTGCTGGAGGCTCATCTACTGTTGCATGGCAAAGACCACTTAGTACATGTGTGCCAACTGAACCAGCAGTTATCGGAAGAGATGCTGATAAAGCCGAGATACTTGAAATGGTGTTAAGCAATAAACAGAGTGGTGGTAGCTTTCATGTAATACCCATTGTTGGCCTAGGAGGAGTTGGCAAAACAACACTTGCTCAGGAGGTGTACAACGACAAGGCAGTGGCGGATTTCAATCCAAAAGCATGGGCATGTGTTTCGGATGTTTTTTATGTTATGCGAATTTCCAAGGCAATTCTTGAGTCCATCACTTCATCACCTTGTAGTCTAGAGAACTTAAATGAAGTGCAGGTTCAGTTGAAAAACAAAGTAGCTGGAAAAAAATTCTTCCTTGTATTAGATGATGTTTGGAGCAGAGATTATGGCTTGTGGGAAACTCTTAAGTCTCCCTTCATGGCTGGGGAACCTGGAAGTAGGATAATTGTGACGACACGCAGCGTCGATGTAGCTTTAACAATGGGACAAAGTGAATATTTTGAGTTGGAACTTCTTTCAAATGATGGTTGTTGAGGCATATTTGAGAAGCATGTATCTGGGTGCAGAGTTGTTGTTTCAGGCCAGAATTTGAATTCAATTCTTGATAAAGTTGTTGAGAAGTGCGGAGGGTTACCGTTAGCAGCCAGGACTCTTGGGGGTTTTTTACGATCTACGCAAAGATACGATGAGTGGGAAGATATATCGAACAGTAAATTATGGGATTTACCTGAAGAAAATGGCATTCTCTCTGTTTTGAGACTAAGCTACCATCATCTTCCTTCGCATTTAAAAAGATGGTTTGCTTATTGTTCTATTTTTCCCAAGGATTATGAATTTATGGATAAGGAACTTATCCTATTATGGATGGCAGAAGGTCTTATTCAACAATCTAAAAACAAGCATCTGGAAGACTTAGGTCATGAGTATTTTTGTGATTTACTGTCGAGGTCAATATTTCAACGGTCAAGTATCAATGGTTCAAAATATATAATGCATGACCTTGTCAATGATTTGGCTCAATGGATATCTGGAGAAACAAGTTTTAGATTGGAGGATGAATGTAGTCTCATGTCAATAAAAAGATTTGATAGAATTCGACATTCTTCTTACACATATAGAGATTATGAAGTAAAAAAGAATTTTGAAGCTCTCTATAAAGTTGAGTCCTTGAGGACGTTGTTGAGAACATTCTTGCCATTATGGTACAAAGCAACTTACGTTACTAAGACCCTTTTTTTGGATTTATTGCCAAAGCTCAAAAAACTGAGAGCACTATCTTTAACATGCTACCATGTGATGGAACCACCCAGCTCAATTGGAGATCTAAGACATCTAAGGTATATTAACCTTTCTGAAACTTGGATAAAATGTTTACCTGAGTCAACATGTTTACTGTTCAATTTACAAAGTTTGATGTTGAGAAATTGTTGTTGTCTTGAGAAGTTGCCTTCACACGTGGGAAATTTGATCAATCTACGCCATTTTGATATTAGAGGGTCAATATTAATAAGGGAGATGCCATTGGGAGTGAAAAACTTAAAATGTTTGAAGACACTGTCAAATTTTATTGTTGGTAATGGTATTGGATCTAGCTTGAAGGATTTGAAAAGCTTAAAGTTTCTTTGCGGAGAGCTTTGCATTTCACGTTTAGGGAATGCAGTGGATTGTCAAGACACAACAGAGATGATATTGTGTGAGAAGAAGGACTTAGAAGCGTTGGTACTAGAATGGAGTTCATCTAATCCCTCATAAGATGAAGCAGTGAAAATTGTTCTTGACATTTTACAGCCTCATGAAAATCTTAAAGAGCTGACAATAAGAAATTAAGGCGGCCAAAAACTTTCATCTTGGATATGAGATCCATCATTCTCCAAGATGGTGGATTTGAAATTGGATGGATGTGAAAACTGCACTACCTTGCCTTCGCTAGCACTGATGGGCTCACTTCAGAACCTCACAATCAGATTGATGGGAAAAATGAAAAAGATAGGTGGTGAGGTTTATGGAGAGGGTTGCTCAAAGTCTTTTCAATCGTTGCGGACTCTTTGTTTTGAGGATTTGCAGGAGTGGAAGTATTGGGACCCTGTAGAAAATGACCATGTCCAAAGATTCCCTTGTCTTCAAAAGCTTTCAATTTCTCAATGTCCTAAACTCTCTGGAAGATTACCTAATCATCTCCCTTTGTTGGATAATCTTGTGATTGATGAGTGTGAGCAGTTAGTGGTTTCATTTTCAAGCCTTCCAATGCTCAGATCATTAGAAATAAATAGATGCAAAGGCATGGTTTGTTGTAGCCTTGTTGATTCAGAGGCGCTAAACTCCATGAGTACAGGTAGAGAATCAAACTTTCCAGTGTTTAGAAGCTGGTCAAGGGAGGGATTTCAGAAACTAGAACATCTGTCAATTGTTGGCTGTGAAGAGCTCATACATTTATTGGCAAATAAGATTTGTCCAGAGAATGCACCACAAGAGTCGAGTTACTTCACCTTCCTTCAAGAGCTGCATTTAAAAGAGCTCCGGAATCTTGTTTCGTTTCCAGATGGGTTACTTTCAATCTTGAGCAGAGTTACTATCAGGCAATGTGACGCCTTAACATCCTTGCACGAGGGGTTGAAGCACAGCAATGCACATCTCAAGTACTTGGAGGTTTATGACTGTCCTTCTCTAACATTCATTGTGAGAGGCCGTTTGCCTTCATCTCTAAAAGAGCTTTCTATTATTAGATGTGAAAATTTGGCGTGCATTTTGGATAATGGAGAAGATATTTGTACTTCTTCTCCATCTTCTTATTCATTGGTACACAGGGACGACATGGACAACACCAGCACATCTCTTCTCTACAAATTAAGAATGGTGGAATGCCATTCTTTGACGCATTTATCCTCAACAGACCAGTTACCTTCAACACTTGCGGAGCTTTCTCTTGCAAACTGTTCAAGTCTCAGAACCTTGGGACAGTTATCAAAGGGACTTGTGTCCCTTTTTTATTAGCGACTGCCCACAGCTAGAGTCACTAGCATCTGGGAGTTTTGACTGTAACATGCCTATTGAGATTCTTTCTATCCAGAAATGTGAAAACCTTAAATCCATTCCGGAGGGCTTACGCACTCTTTGCAAACTACGTAGTATTCATTTCTATAGGTGCCCAAGTCTTGTTTTGTTTCCGAAAGATGGGTTTCCTGACACTGATTTAGCAGTATTTATCTTTGGGTGTGAGAAACTACAAGCCCTACCTAGCCGCATGCACACCCTCAAATCTCTTCTGAAGCTATCCTTATTGCAATGTCCTAATATCGAATCCATTACAGCAGAAGATTTCCTCCCAAACCTAAAATCACTTGCGCTTACTCTCAGTATCTACAAGCCACTGACTGAGTGTGGTTGGCACAAACTTACATCTCTTAGTAATCTCTCAATTTGGGGATTATCTTTTCCGGAGGAGGAGATCATAGAAATAAAGTTTCCCACCTCTCTAATATATCTGAAAATTTTTAGCTTCCTGAAATTGAAATACCTATCTTCCCAAACTTTCCAAGTTCTTACATCTCTTGAATCTTTGCGTTTCAATGATTGCCCAAATCTCACATCTATGCCAGACCTTCCATCCTTACTTTTGTCGCTATATATTTTTAATTGTCCTTTAATAGAAAAACAGTGCAAAAGGAATGAAGGACAAGAATGGTCCAAGATAGTTCACATCCCTCGCGTTGAGGTAAATCATAAATTCATCTAAACTCTGGAAGAGGAAATGAGCTGAATCCGATACTAATTCCTTCCATCATTGTAATCAATTTAGGTATGTCAATTTTTGGCTCATAAAACAATTGTTATCATTGAGAGAATTTAGAGTTTTACAAAAACAATTTTGTCATTTCATGCGGGGAGAAACTGAACAGTCTGACGGATGCAAAATGCCAACATTGCAATGGTAGGGGTAAGCTTTACATTTTTCAGCTCAATGTAGAAAGAAGCTAACAACAGAGCTCACCACATTGTGGATACAACAGTACAATGTCCTCATTCATGTTTCTAGTAACATAACTTTAATAGGTCATAATGCTACTCCATTCTGGATGTATGGATCACTAGAAACCTGTAACAGCATGGAATGTTTTGCACTCGTAATATTTTAAAATTAATTAATTATTATTTTTTTTTTTCATTCGTTTCTCTTTTGTTTATTTGAAGTGATCTTATTTATTGATTTAATTTTTTTTCAGAGGGACTAGAGTACAGCTTCCTTTCAGAATATGAAGCTCAAGGGCTTGCTACAATTAAGTGCTTCTTCGCCTCATTTGATTCTTTGAAAGTTTGTAAGGTAATCAAAAGGAATTTGTGGAATAACTCAAACTCTTGATATTTTGTAACTTTTTAAATACATAATATCCACAGATACTGAAGTTTCTTTATATACATAATATAAAGTCACAAAGTTGCAATGTCTATACTAGTTATTGACATCTGTGTTAGTTTTGGGGCATGCTGTTGGCAATTTTAGGGGCTTCTCATCTCCTCAATATATGGTCATTGGAGAAATTGAATAGGAAAATTGTTTTAATGACCTGGCATGTGACATTGTGTATACCTTAACCCTTTAAAACCTGAATCCAAACTCTATAGCATGAATTGGTAACTCTAACTTTGGAGGTTTTTAGTGCATGAGTTTAGAGAATATTTTGCATGAAAGTGGGGACATTAGTTGTTGCATGCATATTGCAATCTGAATATCTTGCTGATCTGCATCCTTAATCTATATCTCTTAGACGAACAGAAGTATGCTATCTTTCCTTGAAAATAAATCATGTCATTATGTGACTTTCTTTATGCAGGTTCTGTGTAGAAGAAGTTCTCCTTGCTATGTAATACCTCCATATACTTGGGATTGTTTACTGGAACCTTAAGCCAGAAAATGTTCTTGTAAGGGAAGATGGACATATAATGCTCTGTAACTTTGGTCTTTCCCTTCGTTGTGCTGTCAGCCTAACAGTAGTGAAGTCGTCAACACTCGGGTCTGAAACCCTGAAAAAGAATCCAGTTTATTGCATTTGACATGCCTGCATCAAACCCTCGTGTATCCAACTGTCATGTATTGCCCCTACAACTTGCTTTTCTCCTCGATTCTTTTGAAAATCCAAGAAAGTTCAGAAACCAAAGAATGAAACCAGGAACAGTTACCCCACTGCCAGAGCTTATTGCTGAGCCAACCAACACCCGCTCCATGTCGCTTGTGGGAACTCACGAGTACCTGGCGCCTGAAACCATCAAAGGTGAAGGGAATGCGGTGCTGTTGATTGGTGGAATTTTGGGATCTTTCTGTATGAGCTATTATTTGGTATAACCCCCTTCAAGGGCTCCGAAAACAGGGCTACCCTGTTTAATAGTCCAAATCATTTCTGTTTCACAGCTATAATTTTTGTTGTCTCTAACTTTCAATTTTTATCACAAATTTGGTAAACATTTTCATTTCTAATCCTGGCCGAAACTCTAGACATTGAGCACATATCAAAGTTTTACTTTAAAAAATTCAATTGGTTTGTGTTTGGTGGAGAGGTAGCTTTTCTTCTAATAAATCATAGAACTCCTTTTGGATGTGGAAGGCAATGACAATGCACCATGGTTTGCTCAATAAAGTCTATGCTTGAAGAATGAATTTTTGGTGTAATATAGAGAGTTCTTAGTAAGAAAAGTAATCAGAACTATTACTGCATTGTAGTTAGATAGTTTTGTTGGATTCAAGAAAGCAACTGTTTTTATGACTTGAAAATTTCTTTGTTGAAGGTTTCTGCTATTCCTTTGTTAATTTTCCAAGAGGTGCTGCTGTTCAAATGTTGCAATTTTGGAGAGTTATGAGAATGTTGGTGAAGTTTCTATTGAAGCCTTCAAAAGGTTATGATTTCTTCTTGTCATGAGACCAAGTTATTCTAGTGTTATGATGGTCATAATCTCACATCCTTTACTACTTGTGCAGTTTAATATGAATGATTGTCCTTTGCAGAAAACGCAGGGTGAAGGGAACGAAAGACGAGAGTTGTCGAAGATATATAGCCACAATATTCCTTGGATTAACATTGATCACAAGTTCGTCTACCATCCCTACGATGAAGGACGATCTTCGATTAGATTCAATACTTTATTTACAACATTCCATCCTTATGCTCTTTTCAGGTCTGTCAAATTCTTGCACATAAACGGTACCATTAGTCACAATCATAGTTTATCAAATGGAGTTTTAATTATGTCACATTTGTAGGATCCAACCAAATTCCGCAAGTAGAACACTAGAATAACTGTTTAGAGGAGCAGCAGAACTGTTTAGAGGAACTCAAATTCCGCAAGTACTTTTTGTAAAAGCCTGCCCAACTGTCAAAGCATTATCCATTTTGGACACAACACGTTTTGAGAGCTTAGGAGCCCGTCCCAAGCGACGTGGGATATCACACTCCTCTTCTTGATGCACAATGATACTACGAAGAATATGCTTGAAGGATGAATATCTGGAGTTATTCACAACTTCAATTGTTGTTGAAAGTTTCTGCTATTGTCTCCACAAGTTTTTACTTGCTGCACTTCTTCCAAAGATGTGAATACAGACGCAACAAAGATTATGCTTAGAAGTAGTTTCTGATCAGACTTGAGAACATTTTGGTTGTACAAATTATAGATTTACATGATTTTTTATGTATTTTACATTTTCTTTCAATTCCTGTATAATTGCGTGCAATTGCATTTTCTTTTTAACTTCTTGTAATAGAATTTCTCCTGAGGGAGTAAGGTTCACTATTTCCCTTATCGGGGTGTAGTCTTTTCTTTAATCAATAAAATTTCATCGTATAGTCGAGGTTGCTTCTAAAGGGAGAAAAAAAACGAAAAAAAGAATACTTATTGCTATTCATTTGTTTATTATAGCAAATAATCGAGAAAAAATTTCAGTATTCCAAGTCACTATTATTGGATTTCCATTCATTGTCGTTAACCGTTAACTAAATCGCCGTTTTTAAACGTCCGTCATTCTCATTCATTCCAGAAATCGCTTCTTTTTCTCCTCCTCCAATTGTTCATTTTTTAGTAATGTTATATTTACTCACGATCTTACTAATCATCTTATTATCCTTTGTAAATATAACGCATAATATGGATACTATACGCATAATACAGATACCATATATAATTTTAACAAAGGTAATAAGAGGTTAGTAAACTTCCGTGACTAATCATAGCATTATTGTTTCAAAAGCCTGACTGTGACGCCCAAGTAACGAGCAATCACTTCACTAATATCCTCTTTCGCTTCCTCAACCACCAAAAGAATCTATCAAATCCCCCACAAATTCCCCAAATATAAACCATTTTCTCAGGGCAAACCACAAACCCAACCATTAAATAGTGGCCATCATCATGAGCTTCGTGCTTCTCAAATGGAGAACAACATCTATACCCTTCTCAATATAGACCGTTGGGAGTCTCTGAACCACATGGGCTACAATTTAGCTTCACTCAGACCGGTTTACGTGAAGCTTGCTTTGAGATTTCTCAACTGGGTCTGGTTTGGAACTCAATCGCTTGACACACTTGCTTTGTTTAACAGCTCATGTTCTTGTTAAAGCCAGAATGTATGATGATGCCCAGGTGATATTAGGGCACTTATCTTAAAATTTCTTCACTGAATATTTTTCAGTTAAAACAGAGCACCAGAAAACTTGTTGCACACAATGTGCCAAATAAAGACATTTATTGCAATCTTGCTCAACCATAAAGAACAAAAAATTCTTTATCCCTTTTGCTGAAACAACATTGCAAAAGGGATAAAGGACAAGAGTGGCCCAAGATAACCCACATCCCTCGCGTTGAGATAGATTGGAAGTTCATCCATGATCCAGAGGAAGAAGAATGAAGTAAATTTGCTTTCAGAATGAAAAAGGCTGAATTTGTCAATTTGCTTTCAGGTTTGTCAATTTCTAGAATCCCAACATTAACTTTAATCAAAACGATTAGATTTTCATGAAACAGTGTTCATTAATATTTGTGTTGTTCTTACAGGGACCAACCAAACAGTCTCAACTCTGGGATGCAGTATGACAAGAATGGAATTACAGTACTGATTCATAAACTTATATTAAGCAGTGTAACAAAGTTTTGAAGTGAGGTAATTAGTAAAAAAAATGTTTAAGACTTAATGCTTGCTGCATTATGATGAATTAAGCATAGATGTTGATGAAATTTTCATCTCTGTTGCTGAAGTTAACTGATTCTTCACCTCATTGATTCTCTGAAATATTCCAGGTTTAAGGTAATAACAGAAATTTGAGGAATGAATCAAATTCTGACATTTTCAATAGCTTATAAGTATCGTTAAAAGTAAAGTTTCTGATACTATGGTTGCAATATTTGGATTTGCTTTCAAATTATCAGTTCATGCTCTTGATGGGTGGACCAAGAGTAAGCTTGATATCAGTAGTCTAATGTCTTTAGACATGGAGCTGTTTATCAAGGTTTCATTAACATCTAGTTGGTTTGTGTTTTACGGATAGGTAGATCTTCTTGTAACGAGAGAAATGGAGCTGATTTGGATGTGAGACCACAACAAGACACTCTTCTTGGTAGAGCTTTGGATTATATTTTCTTTTCTTTTTATTAATTTATTTATATGTAATTGCATGCATTTGCATTTTCTTTATTTACCTATTGTAAAAGGATTTTTCAAGAATGGTAAGCTTCATTATGTCCCCCTCGTTTAGGTGTATCTTTTTATTCAATTAATAAAATTTTCTTGTACCGTCGAGGTTTTTCAAAGGCTTCATTGGCTGTTGCTTTCTGCAATTTAGTGTCAGTGTTCAAATGTTGGAATCTTGTTCAGCCTTGCAAAGATCAAGATTTGTAGTTGATGTGCTACGACTTCTGAATCAAAATACAAGTCGGTCAAGTTCTATCATATAGACCGTATGAGTTATTTTTTTGGGATAAACCCAGTAATTATTTTGAAAAAAGAATAAATAATACAAGAAGAGGGAACTCTCTTGTATGCTTTTACAGTCCAAGGAGAAGCTAATAAAAAAAGGCCGAAGACCAAGATGATGTACAATCCTCTACATAAACAGGCCTTGGCAAAAAACAAAAACAAACTATCTATACAAGACCACATAGCCCAAAAAAGGAATTCTTCATAACCGAAGGCCGGCCCATACAATCAGCCCACGTCAATAGTCCACATAAAAGGCCCATTCTACAACCCCAGCCCCAGCACCAGACCTCTTTATCACCCAAAAAGAGCGCAACCAGCCTTCCCAGCCAACGCCCCACAATTCCCAGAAGGTTATTCTTTCCTCCTCCCATCATGATCTCCTAAACCCTTTTACCAAGGGATCTGATTTTTTTCCGTCCTTTGCCCCCTTTAATATTCAAATTTGCCCAGCCTGCAACATGGTCCTGGAGCCTCATTTCTGATGTTATGGATCAAAGGACTTAAAGTAAGCTGTGATTGCAGAGGTTTAATGGTAGCTCGTATTGATGAAACTTGAGGGGCTACTTCAGATCGTGGAAGGCAGTCAATGAAACGCTCTTTTCGTTGGAGATGAATCTACGCAATAGGTTCGGAATCAGAGTTGAGAAAGTTATTTGCAATGAAACAAGTTATCAGTGTTACGCAACGGAAACATAAACTTTAACGCTAGCTTATTGAATATAATAATACAAGTAGTAAAGCATAAATAAATTACCAAAATTAAATGCAAAAATAAAGAATATCAGGAATTAACGAGGTTCGATATTAAAACCTACGTCCTCGGGCGTTGCAAAAGAAAGCTCCACTATCTCCAAACAATATTACAAATATTTGGGCAATACAACAAATACCCAAAACAAATGGGAGATACAATAAAACTTGCAAACTAAAGGGTCCTTAAAGAAAGAACCCTAAACAAAAGAAGTATAATGGAATTACAACTTGGGATACAATTAACATTGATTTAGGTCCTTATATATAGGCCCAAAAAGTTTCCCACTTTTCAATCCTAATCAATGTGGGACAAACAACCTTTTCTTGGCCTATTACATATAAGTCCCTAAACCTTTCTCCATTATCATTTCTACCCCATGTGATTTTGCTAAAAGCCATTTTTCAACAACACAAATCCTCCTCTTGGCGAATTAGTCAAACCTTCTAGTTTTGTATTCTTCTGTCAAATTTTGCAACACCTCCAAATGTGCCAAAAAGCACAATCAAGCTTGCAGGATGTTGATCAAGTTCAAACAGTGATTGAACTTGACATTGTCACTACTTTTGTGTCAAACAAACCTTGCCATTTCCTCTATCTCTAATTATCTCCATACCGAGAATCTTCTTGGCTTCCCCTAAATCCTTCATCTCAAATTTCTGTTTAATTCCTTTAACTTCTCAATTTCTTCATTCTTTAGCAATCAACATAAGTAGATAAATGAGATTATCACCTTGTAGCCTTTGAAAATACACATAGTTGTCAAATTTGCTTCTTGTGTACTCCGACCCATCATAAACCTATCAAATCGCTTGTACCACTGCCTCGGAGATTGTTTCAAACCATAACGATCTTTTCATTTTACAAACCCAATCTTCCTTCCCAATACTCCTAATCCTTCTGGCTGGGTCATATAGATTTCCTCTTCCAAATCACCGTAGAAACGCGGTTTTCACATCAAGTTGAACAGTTCAAGTTCATCTGAGCAACCAAGGTCACCAATCTAATGGAAGAATGCTTTACAACTGGAGAAAATACCTCATTGAAATCTATTCCTTCCTTCTGAGCGTAGCCTTTCGCCCACCAACCTTGCCTTTATCGATGTCTTTCAAATTCGGAAATCCTTCTTTCTTTGCTATACCCATTTGCATCCAATTGCCTTCTTATTCTTTGTATGAACAACCTCCCAAGTTTCATTCTTATGGAGAGACTGCATCTCTTCTTTCAGGGCTTTCCTCCACTTACCATTTTTGGAACTGCTAGCTACTTCATTATAAGTGGAAGGAACTTCACCATCTTCAATTGGGAGTGCATAGGCCACCGTATCAGCAAAACGAGCAGGCTTGCGAATTTCTTGTCTTGGCCTATTAACAGCATGATTCTTGTTGAGGTTCTTGGAATAATCTTTTTCTTCATCTCCAATGAACTCCTCTACCATAGGAGTCTCATTTCCAACTGGGCTAACTGATGTTGTTTCAACTCCACCGCTGCTGAGTATGCTCCACCTGTTGCGGAGTACTGAAAACCTTCATCTGGCTTCCTGTTTTCTTTTCTAAATAGAAGACTCTCATGTCACATCTCTACTAAACAGTATTTTCTTCGAACTTGGACACCAAGACGGTATCCTTTCACACCTGAGGTAACCCCCAAAATACTGCTTTCTTGCTCTAGGATCTAACTTAGACTCTTTCACATGATAATAAGCAGTGGAACCAAAACATGTAAAGAGTCATAATCAAAAACAGGTTTTCCAGACCATACCTCAATCGGCGTCTTGCCTTCATTGCAGTTGATGGTAGACGATTATGAATGACACGCATATATAACTGCTTCAGCCCAAAACTCTTTGCCCAACCTAGAATTGGACAACAACATCGAACTTTCTCAGTATAGTTCGATTCAGGTGTTCTGCCACCCCTGCTTCTGTGGTGTATTTCTTACTGTAAAGTGACGTACTATTCCTTCATCTTGGCAAACTTTCAAAAACGGATCACTACGATACTCCCCACCATTATCTGTACGTAGTTGCTTGATCTTTCTCGCAGTCTGAGTCTCATCATCTTTTTCCATTTAAGGAAAACACCAAGTACGTTATCTTTAGTTTTTATTACATACACCCAAACTCTTCTGGAAAAATCATCTACAAAAGTGACAAAATAGTGCATACCTCCCAAAGATGTTGTTTTGGTAGGTCCCCACAACTCAGAATGAACATAATCCAAAATACTCTTAGTATTATGGATTGCGGTGCCGAATTTCACTCTTGTCGTTTTCCCAGAACACATACTCCAGAAGTCCAGCTTACAGGTCTTGCACCTTTCAATAAGCCTTGATTCACTAAACTAGTAAGGCTTTTTCACCTGCATGCCCCAAACGCATATGCCACAGCTTGAGCATTTCTGAATCTGCATCCTTCTGCACGACTGCAACTGTCGTTTCAATAATTGTACTACCATTATAGTAATACAGGTTGTTTCTCCTCGTGCCTTTCATACCACAAGAGCGCCTGAAGAAACTTTTAGAATTCCTCTCGCATATTCACGTGTGAGCCTTTAGATTCCAAAGCTCCCAAAGAGATGAGATTCTTTTTCAACTTCGGTACATACCGAACATCTGTCAGAGTTCTAGTTGAGCCATCATGATTCTTCAACCGAATTGAACCTATCCCAGTTGTTTTACAAGCATCTCATTGCCCATATAACACTCCACCATCAAGTTCTTCAAAATTAAAGAACCACTCCTTGTGGGGACACATATGATAGGTACAACCTATCCATAATCCACTCATTTGATCCAGAGGTGGATGGTAAGCTAACTAGACAGAAATCAGACTCATCCTCTTCACGCTCAACAACGTATGCATCAGAAGTGCTTTGCCCTTTTCTTCTTTTGCAACTTCGGACAATCTTCTTCCAATGCCCTTTCTCACGACAGGCACATTGATCCCTATTGAGTTTTCCCTTTGACAGGATCTCTCCTCTTCTCTCCTTTTTACACTCTGATTTTGACTCCGCCCTCTTGCTACAAGAGCTTCTGCTGACTCATCTCTATTCCTTCTGATCCTTCTTCGAATTTCATGATTGGACAGACAGACAAACTTCTTCAAAGAACAATTTTTCTTTCCATGAAGAAGTGTAATACTAAGATAGTCCAACTCATCTGGAAAGATCCAATTAACAACATAGCCTTATGCTCATCTTGAATGTTTCATCCAAATTTAACAAATCAGCAATTAATCTGTTAAATGTATCAATATGGCTACTGATATTCGTACCTGGTCTTAACTGAAGACGAAACAGTCTTTTCATCAAATAGAGCCGATTCTCGTTACTTTTCTTTCATATATTTGTTTCCAGCGCCTTCCGTAACTTATTTGCAGACGTCCTTTCATGAATGGATATTTCTACTCTCTACAAAGACATGAGCGAATCATCCCACACGCTTTTACGTTCAACCTCACCCAGTCTTTCTCATAGACATCTTCTGGTTTTTCCTCCTCCAGAACAATATCTAGATCCTGCTGATACAAGCTATCCATTACCTCACTCTGCCACAAGCCAAAATTATTTTGGCCATCAAATTTTTCAACATCAATCTTTACTGTGCGGATGGTGTTGCCGCAAACAGTGCTGCCTCGAACGATGAATCCTTGGACGGTGATGCCATTTATGCCTTACTCAATTGGCTTGGTAAACAAAATTCCCAATAACCAAGCTCCACAAATTATTTATTCAATAGCTAACCGACAAATTAACAATAGCCCTAGGTAGTAGTAAGTGCTGAAATGATTAAATACGCACCAGGAAAATTCCCAGGAAACAATGGAGGGGTCACAATGGTCCCACTTAAAATCCAGTCTCCTTAGACTTTTATCGTCTTTTGACAGAATTTTCCTAGACATGCATATAACCATACAAATAGCTACTCACTGTCCTAAACCTAGGCTCTGATACCAATTGTTATGCAACGGAAACATAAACTCTAACGCTAGCTTATTGATATAATAATACAAGTAGTAAGCATAATAAATGCCAAATTTAAATGCAAAAATAAAGATACCAGGAATTAACGAGGTTCGGTATTAAACCTACGTCTCTGGGCGCTGCAAAAGAAGCTCTACTCTCCCAAACAATATTACAAATATTTGGGCAATATAACAAATACCCAAAACAAAGGGGAGATACAATAAAACTTGCAAACTAAAGTCCTTAAAGAAGAAACCCTAAACAAAAGAAGTATAATGGAATTACAACTTGGGATACAATTAACATTGATTTAGGTCCTTATATATAGGCCCAAAGTTTCCCACTTTTCAATCCTAATCAATTGGGACAAACAACCTTTTCTTGGCCTATATATATAAGTCCTAAACCTTTCTCCATTATTATTTCTACCCCATGTGATTTTGCTAAAAGCCATTTTTCAACAATCAGCACAAATGGAGAATGGTGGATGAAAATTCTACTGCAAGTGTCACAGTGACTCTTTTGTTTCAAACACTTTTCTACTGCTAATTTTATAGGGATTGTGTTCAAACTTGGAATTCTGATTTTTCATTTTTCCAGATAATGAACTGCTGATATTTCTGTTGTTAAGAGTTAAGCTGCAACAATTTTTGATGTTGCAACTACAATAGACCGTTTGGAGTCTCTGAACCACATGGACTGGGTCATGAAAAACCCTGGTTGGAACCAAATCACTTGGCTGACTCACTTTGTTGATAGCTCATGTTCTTGTTAAAGCTAAAATGTTGATGATGCCAAGGTGATTTTAGGTAGTTTCTTCCTTTCTTTCCTTTCTTCTCTTTTCCTCTCGTTTTTCTCCTTTTTTTTTTTTTTTTTTTTGTTTTTTTTCCTTTTTTTTTCTGCTCTGCTCTCGCTTTCTTCCTCTGCTCTCGTCTCCTTCTTCTTCATCTGGGCGAACTGCCCAGTTTTCTTTTCTTTAAAACTAAAACAGTTTTCTGAAATTAAATCTGCCCCCCAAAATTCTCTTAATTTCGTCTAACCCCGCCACATCAGCTTTACCTTCCAAAGCCTCCAGATTTTTGCCCCTTGTTACATGCAAACCCAGCAGCTTCCTTTTCTTGCAATTTCATTCCCAATAAAACTCTTAAAAACTGACATAAATCCCCTTCCAAAAAAATAAAATCACAAAGAATATGTAATATATATTAGGATTAAAAAAGGGGTTTTCACACTAATGTATACGTTTGAGTTCTGATTTTGCTAGATTTCATTTTATTTTGAAGGAATTGGTTAACATGTATAAGGAAGAATCAATGAAAAAATACATAAATACATATATGTATTGCTTCTTGGAAGTCAGTGTAGACAATATTTATAAGTTGATCAATTTGTTCTTTACATACCCTTTATCTCTTGAGTTTTGTCAAACTAATTAATCCAACACTAATCAAATTATTGATTGGATTATCATTCAATCTTCTTTTGTGAAATTTCATGGATGGTGCGCGGCTGATGCTTGGTTATTTACTGAAATAAACACACTATGGATCACTTGGAAGAAAAACAGGACATTAAAAATGCAACCAAAACTTTTAGCTCTTTTAATTTTGTTTGAAGTTGAATTATTTCAACGGTTGAGCGAAGACTTTAAAACCAAGTTGCAGACAGTTGGATTCTGTGCTTTATGAGTACACTGTTCATAATGAACACTTGACTCTTGGATGTCCATTTTCCTTTTTATATTCATAGTGAACTGTTGAGAGAAAAAGAAGAAGCATCTCAAACTTTTCTTTTTCTTCTTTTTCTGAGTCTCTTTGTTCTTCGTCCAAACTCTCCTTTTTAATTTCTTATCACAAATTCAAACACCAATTTCCATCTCTTCATCTTGCAGACATTGCTTGCTTGCAGAATCTACTGTTAAGAAATCCACAAGACCGTCATATCAAAAATTTTAGGTAAGGAAAAACAACCGTCATATCTGATTCTGATGTTTATGAAGTTCAAGAATCCATAGTAGAAAACCAGTTTCTCTTATGTTCACTCTCACTGTTCTAAATAATTATCAATGGTGTGAAATTGAACTCCGTGAATCCATGGTCGTGTCGTGTCAGTACCAGACTTGGTTCAAAGGTTCAATTGCACTCTCCTAAAAAAGTTCGATTACTGTTATTACTACAATAAAATTACGTAAAAATTAGTAACTAATTATCATCCTTCTCTTTCTTGATTGTTGCTATTCATCTGATTATCACTCTTTTCTGTATGAGAATTTTAATTCATTCTTATCATTTCTTCCTACGTAGTCAAAACCATGCCAGTGGGAGAAGTCTTTCTTGGTGCTTTTCTTCAGGTGTTGTTCGACAGATTGGCGCCGAGTAAGCTGTCGCTCTTTCCATGTGAAGATGAGATACGTTCAGAGTTGAAGCAGTGGAAGAGAAAGTTTTTAATGATCCAGGCAGTGCTCAACGATGCCGAGGAGAAGCAACTGACGAACGAGGCTGTGAAAATGTGGTTGGAAGATCTCCAAGACTTGGCTTATGATGTGGAGGACATCTTGGATGAGTATGCTACTCAGGTTCTAGAGCGGGAATTGATGACAGAACAATCGACAAACAGAATTGCTGATTATTTCTCTTCTTGGACCCCAAGTGCTCTGATTTCCCAGGCTGATATGAAGTCCAAGACAGAAGAGATAACTTGTCGTTTGGAAGATCTCTGTGAAGAAAAGAATGATCTTGGCCTGAAAGAGATTGCTGGAGGCTCATCTACTGTTGCATGGCAAAGACCACCTAGTACATGTGTCCCAACTGAACCAGCAGTTATCGGAAGAGATGCTGATAAAGCCAAAATACTTGAAATGGTGTTAAGCAATGAACCGAGTGGTGGCAGATTTCATGTAGTACCCATTGTTGGCCTTGCTGGAGTTGGCAAAACAACACTTGCTCGGGAGGTATACAACGACAAGGCATTGGCAGATTTCAATCCAAGAGCATGGGCATGTGTTTCGGATGATTTTGATGTTATGCGAATTTCCAAGGCAATTCTTGAGTGAATCACTTCATCATCTTGTAGTCTAGAGAACTTAAATGAAGTGCAGGTTCACTTGAAAAACAGAATAGCCGGAAAAAAATTCTTCCTTGTATTAGATGATGTTTGGAGCAGAGATTATGGCTTGTGGGAAACTCTTAAGGCTCCCTTCATGTCTGGGGCACCAGGAAGTGCGATAGTTGTGACCACACGCAGCGTAGATGTAGCTTTAACAATGGGACTAAGTGAATATTATAACTTGAAGCTTCTAGAAAAAGATGCATGTTGGGCCATCTTCGAGAAGCATGTATCTGGGAGTAGAGTTATTGTTTCAGGCAAGAATTTGAATTCAATTCGTGATAAAGTTGTTGAGAAGTGCAGAGGGTTACCCTTAGCAGCCAGGACTCTTGGGGGTCTTTTACGATCTAAGCAAAGATATCATGACTGGGAAGATGTATTGACCAGTAAATTATGGTATTTACCAGAAGAAAATGGCATTCTCTCTGTTTTGAGACTAAGCTACCATCATCTTCCTTCGCATTTAAAAAGATGTTTTGCTTATTGTTCCATTTTTCCCAAGGATTATGAATTTATGGATAAGGAACTTATCCTATTATGGATGGCAGAAGGTCTTATTCAACAATCTGAAAACAAGCATCTGGAAGACTTAGATTGTGAGTATTTTCGTGATTTATTATCGAGGTCAATATTTTAACGTTCAAGTATCAATCGTTCAAAATATATAATGCACGACCTTATGAATGATTTGGCCCAATGCATGTCAAGAGCAACAAGTTTTAGATTGGAGGAAGAATTCAATCTCATGTCAACAAAAAGATTTGATAGAATTCGACATTCTTCTTACACATCTAGAGATTTTGAAGTAAAAAAGAATTTTGAAGTTCTCTACAAAGTTGAGTCCTTGAGGACGTTGCTGAGAATATTCTTGCCATTGAGGTACAAAGATAGAACTTACATTTCTAAGACGGTTTTTTTGGATTTATTGCCAAAGCTCAAGAAACTTAGAGCACTATCTTTAACAAAGTACCATGTGATTGAACTACCCAAATCACTTGGAGACCTTAGACAGCTAAGGTATATTAACCTTTCTGAAACGCAGATAAAATGTTTACCTGAGTCAACAAGTTTACTGTTCAATTTACAAAGTTTGATATTAAGAAATTGTATTTGTCTGGAGAAGTTGCCATCACACGTGGGAAATCTGATTAACTTATGCCATTTTGATATTAGAGGGTCAATATTAATAAGAGAGATGCCATTGGGAGTGAAAAAATTGAAATGTTTGAAGACCCTCTCAAATTTTATTGTCGGTAAGGGTATTGGATCTAGCTTGAACGATTTGAAAAGTTTAAAGTTTCTTTGCGGAGAGCTCTGCCTTTCAAGCTTAGAAAATGCAGTGGATTGTCAAGACACAGCAGAGATGATATTGTGCGATATGGACACTGAAGTGTTGGTACTAGAATGGAGTTCTTCTAATCCCTCGGAAGATGAAGCAGTGAAAACTGTTCTTGACGTTTTACAACCTCATAAAAATCTAAAAGTGCTGACAATAAAAAACTATGGCGGCCAAGAACTTTCATCTTGGATAGGAGATCCATCATTCTCCAACATGGTGGTTTTGAAATTGGATGGATGTGAAAACTGCACCACCTTGCCTTCCCTAGCATTGCTGGGCTCACTTCAGAACCTCACAATCAGATTGATGGGGAAAATAAAAAAGATAGGTGGTGAGGTCTATGGAGAAGGTTGCTCTAAGTCTTTTCAGTCGTTGCGGATTCTTTGTTTTGAGAAGTTACAAGAGTGGGAGCATTGGGACCCTGTAGAAAATGACAATGTCCAAAGATTCCCTCGTCTCCAAAAGCTTTCAATTTCTCAATGTCCTAAACTCTCTGGAAGATTACCTAATCATCTCCCGTTGTTGGATAATCTTGTGATAAATGGGTGTGAGCAGTTAGTGGTTTCATTTTCAAGCCTTCCAATTCTAAGATCATTAGAAATAAATAGATGCAAAGGAATGGTTTGTTGTAGCCCAGTTGATTCAAGGGCACTAAACTCCATGAGTACAGGTGGAGAATCAAACTTTCCAGTGTTTAGAAGCTGGTCAAGTGAGGGATTTCAGAAACTAGAACATCTGACAGTTGTTGGCTGTCAAGAGCTCGTACATTTATGGCCAAATAAGATTTTTCCAGAGAATGCACCACAAGAGTTGAGTTGCTTCACCTCCCTCCAACAGCTGCATTTGAAAGAGCTCCGGAATCTTTCCTCGTTTCCAGATGGGTTACTTTCAAACTTGAGCAGAGTTACTATCAGCCAATGTGACGGCCTGACATCCTTGAACGAGGGTTTGAGGCACAGCAATACACGTCTCAAGTACTTAAAGGTTCATGACTGTCGTTCTCTAACACTCATTGTAAGAGGTTGTCTACCTTCATCTTTAAAAGATCTTTCTGTAAGTAAATGTGAAAATTTGGTGTGCATTTGCGATTACAGAGAACATATTTGTACTTCTCCATCTTCTTCTTATTCATTGGTACAGAGCGACGACGTGGACAATCCTAGCACATCTCTTCTCTGCAAATTAAGCATACAGGAATGCCATTCTCTGACGCATTTATCCTCAACAGACCAGTTACCTTCAACACTTGCGGAGCTTTCTCTTTCAAACTGTTCAAGTCTCAGAACCTTGGGACAGTTATCAAAGGGACTTGTGTCCATTTTTATTAAAAAGTGCCCAAAGCTAGATTCACTAGCATCTGGGAGTTTTGACTGTAACATGCCTATTGAGATTCTTTCTATCGAGGAATGTGAAAACCTTAAATCCATTCCGGAGGGCTTACACACTCTTTGCAAACTACGTCGTATGAGTATCAGTAAGTGCCCCAGTCTTGTTTCGTTTCCAGAAGATGGGCTTCCTGACACTGATTCAGAAGTACATATCTTTGGGTGTGAGAAGCTACAAGCCCTACCTAGCCGCATGCACTCCCTGAAATCTCTTCAGGAGCTATCCTTATTGCAATGTCCTAATATCGAATCCATTACAGCAGAAGATTTCCCCTCCAACCTAAAATCACTTACACTTCCTCTCAGCATCTACAAGCCACTGACTGAGTGTGGTTGGCACAAACTTACATCTCTTACCAGTCTCAGAATTTGGGGATTACCTGATGCAATATCTTTCCCAGAAGAGAAGATTATAGAAATAAAGTATCCCATCTCTCTAATTAATCTGAGCATTGTTCGTTTCCCGAAATTGAAATACCTATGTTCCAAAAATTTCCGAGTTCTTAGATCTCTTAAATTTTTGACTTTCAATGATTGCCCAAATCTCACATCCTTTCCAGACCTTCCGTCCTCACTTTTGCGGCTACATATTTATAGATGTCATTTAATACAAAATCAGTGCAAAAGGAATGAAGGCCGAGAATGGTCCAAGATAGTTCACATCCCTTGCGTTAAGATAAATGGAAAATTCATCTACACTCTGGAAGAGGAAATGAGCTGAATCCGATACTAATTCCTTCCATCATTGTAATCAATTTAGGTAAGTCAATTTTTAGCTCATAGAACACTAGTTACTATTAAGAGAATTTAGAGTTTTACAAAAACAGAGTGTGAACTAATTATTTTGTCACTTCATGCAGGGAGAAACTGAACAGTGACTCTTGGATGCAAAATGCCAACATTGCAATTGCACTGGTAAGGTTTACCATATGGTTTCTTAAGACAATTTTAAGTCACACTTTTGACTAATTAAAATTAATGATAGAATTGGCTAATTATTTTCATTTCGTTCATTTCTAGGAGTACCCTAAGCTCTTTAAGCACTGAGTTGATATCAAGGTTTGTGTTTGGTGGACAGTAGTTTGTCTTCTACCTAGTACTTCATAGAGCTTAAATTGGATGTAGAAGGCAATTAATGATACACTATGTAGATTACAGAGCTTTGGAGGTGTTGGTGTTCAAATGTTGCAGTTTAGATTGCTGGAGTGTTATGGGAATATCAGTGAAGGTTGAAGCCTTTCAAAAGTTATAACAAATTCTAGGGCATGCCTTTATACTCTTTTCAGGTCTGACAAATTCTTGCACCTAAAGGATACAATTATGTCACAATTGTATAAAATTTTATGTAACTGGTTATGTAACAATTGTAGGAAGAAACCAACTTCAAAAACATCATGTCAGCTTTATCATATCACATGTTAATTAAGGTAATTAAAAAGAACTTTGGTTCCTCTGTTTGATAACCATTTAATACAAAACCATAGCTATCCGGTATCTAATAAAGAATCCTTGAATCAACTTATCGTACTACCATTTTTTATACCATTTTTCAGCTCAATGAAGAAAGAGGCTAACAACAGAGCTCACAACAATACAAGTTAAGATGAGCTCTTCAATGTCTTCATTCATCTTGCTAGTAACTTAATTTTAATAGGTTATAATGCTATTCCATTCTTGATGTATGGTAATGTTGGTGAAGATTCTACTGAAGCCTTCAAAAGGTTATGATTTCTTCTTGTTATGAGACCAAGTGATTCTAGTGTTATGATTGTCCTAACGGGACCTAACCTCTCATTCTTTACTACTTGTCCAATTTAATATGAATGATTGTCCTTCGCAGAAAATGCAGGGCGAAGGGAATGAAAGACTCCATTAGATTCAATCCTTTAATTACGACATTCCATCCTCATGCTCTTTTCAGGTCTGTCAAATTCTTGCACATAAACGGTATCATTAGTTACAATCACAATTTATTAGATGGGAGTGTTAATTATGTCACATTTGCAGGAAGCAACCAACTCTCGGATACAAAATGTCAACATTGCAATGGCAGTAGTAAGCTCTATCATAAGGCATCTTAAGACAATTGAAAGACATTTATTTTCATCTGTTTCATAAGTATCTAAACTACTTGTAGCAAGCCTCCTTTGATAAACATTTACTAGAGGTTTCTTTTCAGATGATCAATTCATGTTACTGATGAGTGGACTATAAGGAAGCTGTGACAGTGCATTTCCAAAAATATTGCGTAGATTCATTGTCCGAGCTTGGTCTTTGTGGCGTCAATCGCTGTTGGTCTAATGTCACTGGAGCTCCACCAAGAAGATCGTTTCATTGTCTTCCATGATGCGAATCAGCCCCTTGTGTTTCATTAGCGGCATGGAGGAGAGGAAGAGGAGCGCTTCAGTGTAGGATGAACTCAAAATCCACAAGTCTTTTTTATAGAAGCCTGTCCACTGTCAAGATATTATCCGTTTTGAATACAACGCGTTCAGAGAGTTTAGGAGCTCACAGACTATTTAACAAGCCTTCGCCTTTCTTTTCCAAGCGATGTGAAATATCACACTACTCTTCTTGATACGCAATGATACCACGAAGAATATGCTTGAAGGATGAATATCTGGAGTTATTTACAGCTTCAATTGTTGTTGCCAATGGCAAATGGTTTGGCCAAGGACAAGTGTACCATGCACTCTCCATGTGAAGCCACCTATCCCTTGTGTTGGCAATGAAGACCACTATATAAAGCCCCTCTTTATTCACTAATTTTACACAACACAATTTGAGAGAAAGGGTTAATAAAGTATTTTCCTTCAGCCCTCTTCCAATTGCACCACTGAAATTATAATAAAAAAGAAATACACTTTCCTTATATTAGCAAATTTTTAGAATTATAATCTAATTTTTTCTGTAATAAAGTAGCACTTTTATTACTGCAAACAACCAAGAAAAAATTTCAGTATTCCAAGTAAAATTCTCCATAATTTATGGTATTCAAACTAAAAATATTACTACAATAACACATACTGAAATCATGTATTTTTAAGATTAAACTATCAATATCGTGAACATTCTTTTATATCTTTCTTATTGCTAAGGGCGTGTTTTAAAATTAATCTTAGGTGTTTAAACTAACAATATTGGTGACTTGGTGTCATCTTATTTGACTATCTCCAACCAACCCAGTCAGTTGGTCAATTTTTGCAGCCCCCTAATTTGGAAGCTTAAATTTTGGGTCAAAGATTATATCCTTTCACTTCCCATTTCAAAACAATATATATATAATTATATATAATTATATTATATATATATATATAGATAATATATTATTATAATATAAAAGTAAATCACTCATTTTACACCTACACGGGTTAACATCTATTAGAATCAAGAGATTTATCCTAATAGTTTAAACGTAAGATTTAAACATTAGACTCGAACCTCATATTAGTATTTATGAAATAGAGGATTTATTCTAGTAGTTTATATTGTAGTACGTAAACGTTAGACTCGAACTGTGATAAATATACGTGGTTAAATGGGTGGTATCATGATCATCATCCAATAGGACTACGACTATTGGTTTGGATAATGGAAACTTTATTGATTCTCTCATAACAATTACATGTAATTTATTCCTTTTGTCATGGAAATTGCACATCTCAGGTTCCAAAGGCACATTGGCTCAACTCATGTGATTTTACATTGTAAAAGAATATTTATTTTTATAAAGTATTTTGTAGTATTCCATTGCCTTTTTAACTTAAATTCTCAATCAAAATTTAAAAAATAAAATAAAAGTTAATGGATTCCCTCCTATAATTTTTTTTTTTAATCTTAAAGATTATTATTATTTTATAATTTATGGAGAAAATCAACTTAAAGAATTTAATTATTGGAGATTGAAAGTCTCATAATTTTCTAGACAAAAATTTTAAATAACTCTTCCTCTATTAAATGGGTAATTTTAATAATTTTAATCTAATAATTCAAATTTTTGTATTATATATATAGACATAAATATACAAAATTTTCATCATTATTTGTTTTTAAGAAATTTTTTCTTAAATAAATATGCATGTCGTGATTGTTTTGATATGTATTTCTCTACCGTGTTCAAGACAAAGACTTAATCCACCCTGAGTATTTTGTCCAATGTCAAGGTAGTATCCCTTCAAATACTATGAAATATATCTCTCAAGTTAATAACAATTAATTAAATCTTAACTCTGAAATAATAATTTTTTTTAACACTAGGATGAGTGAATTACCCATTTTACCCTTACATGGGTTAACATCCATTAGAATTAGAACGTCTATCCAAATAGTTTAAACCGTATGATTTGAAGATTAAACCCAAATCAAGACAGTAAATACACGGGGTTAAATCAAATGGCATCACAATCATCGTCCAAAATTTTCTTCATTATTTGTTTATAAGAAATTTTTTCTTAAATAAATATATAATTGGCGATGTAATTAATATTTAATGATTGGTAAAGACTATACCTAATGCTTTATTTAAGTCAACATTAGTGTTGTTTTATTTGTAGCCATAGAAACATATTCCTCTTTATAATATTCTCAATAAGATAAATAATATCTTTTAATAAAATAAAATAAAAAAAAGTAAGCATACTGACATGAAAGTGCTGAATGTGAATGTGACCACCCATAACTTGACCCACCTAAATCTTTTGGCCACATAAATGCATTAGTCATACATCATCAAGGTTGTTGCTATCATAAATATTAAAAAATTAAAATTAAAAAACTAAAAAATTATTAAAATTTAAAAAATAAAATAAGATATCATGTATTTATTATTTCAATATATTTACACACATATTAATGATGTTTTGTTTATTATATATAAACTATAAATATATGTATTATTAAAAATCAAATCGTGATATTATCAATAAACTCTCTATTTTAAAAATAAAAAAAACATTGCCTTTATTTTAATATTTTGATGTATCGAAAATTGTGTTTTTGTTACTTTTTATTTACCTGTTATGTGTTAAAATTAAGATAACCCTTTTAGAAAATATTAACACTTCGAAATTGTCAAGAGGGAAGTGGAGGGGGATAGACGATACGGCTCGATCGAATGTAGAATAGTGGCAAACCGATCCACCGATCAACTTGGGGCATGAACCAATACAAATTGCGATGGGGGCTGATATAAAAAAATTGCTAACATTTTCTATAAATCATAAAAAAATATGGGTAAAAAGTATCAAGAATATCTTTGATATAGATATATAATAGTTGTGGAATATCTTTAAAATTAATGGAAACTTTTCTAGTTTTTGCATCACATGATCTAATAATTAAGAAATGGAGTTGTTACCAAAAAGAAAAAAAAAATGCCAAAAGCATTCAACTTTTAATCTTAATTCCATTTTTAAACCATAAATTTGTTATTTAATTCAAAACCAAATCTAGATTATTTTAAAATTTTATACCTTTTTTATCTGTCTATACAAATAAATTTCTTCTTCCTCTCTCTAGCCATGGCTGGTGTATTTTGAATTTTATATATTTTCTTCTCATATGGAGCTCTGAAAAGGCATAAATACAGAGAACCAAATCAAGAATTGAACCAAACCCAGTTGAGTTTCACCAAGTTTGTCTGGTAAATTTTTAATATTTTTGAGAAAGAAGAACCATAAAATATTCTAGAGGGTATGGCTCATCAAGAAGCAATTAAGCAGCTTCAGTCTTTGATAGAAGATGGTGAGCTTTGAAGAATGAATTCACTTCACATTTTGTTTTGATCTTATTTGATCTATAATAAATAGCAGTTTGTTTGATGGGTTGTAATTTTTTCTTTTTAAACTCTTTTTACAGTGGAAGATGAGTCAATGAAGGAGACATTTAAGGTTAGCTTAGCTTTTACTTTCCTTTTCTAAGTTTGTTGGATCTATTTTTGGTTTGGATGCTGGGAAAATGGAAGTGAAAAGGATGGGAATTTGAGTCAAAGTATTGGTTTTTGGCTTTTGAGAGTGGTAAAAATTGAAGCTTTGACTATCTGAGACTTATTCAAACATTGAGTTTTGTTTTGTACTTGATGAAAGCTGAGATTTGATCTGGGTTTGTACTGTTGTTGGCTTTCTGTTTCTTGGTTCTGATCTATTTGATGTCTGATTAATTAATGTTCTGAGTATTGGGTCCAGTGAAGATTAGTTGGTTCACGTTCAGATTCTGGTTTTTCTACCTTTTTTCTTATTAACTCAAGTGGGATTTTGTGCTTGTGGCACTTCAGTTGTGTTTCAGAACCGTGTGAAGTTACAGTTTGTAAATTTTGAGATACCAGCTGGGTTTTTGACTGGCAATGATTTGTTTCGTGTATTGATTTTTTTTTTTTTCATCCTTGGAATTATCATCATTTGAGGTTTTTAAAGTTGAAATCTTGACTTCATCTTCAAGTGGATTTGATTGCCAGAAGATTACCAGTGTCGCGTCATATTAGGATTCGTTGGTTTATTGCAACTTTGGTTTCTCAAATTTCTTCCTTTTTGGATTTAGCTTAACCAGACATCTGAAGTTTGTGATTAAACCTGCATGCTGGCATGATTCTGTACATGTGCTTGTGAGACTTCAAATTGAGCTTTAAGTTTGATTTGTGATTTCCAGAATATGCACCAAGGTAATCCAACTGAAACATTGGTGCGGTTTCTCAAAGCCAGGGATTGGAATGTCTCAAAAGCCCATAAAATGGTTAGATTCATGATCCTTTGTTAAAAAAATTTGCTCTCAATTCGTTATATATTATCTACGTGAAATAGTATTGATATGTGTATCTTTCCTAATGGTGTTTAATTTTCCCAGTTGATTGATTGTCTGGATTGGAGGATAACTAATGACATTGACAATATATTAGCGGTGAGTTTGGTTAATAGTACTTGCAATTTAGTTCTCCAATGATTCTCATGGATTGCATTGAATCTTGCATTTAGATTTGTAAACCAATTCATTAAGGAACATAGCCACTAGAATGTGTGGGTTGCCTAGTGAGGTTTTGAGAGGGATGACATATATTTGTTCCTAACTTCCATCGCCACGGTATAACATGCATTAAGGATGAAAATAATGAAGCCAAATGGTAATAACACCCTTAGCGGTGACATTTGCCTTCAATTTGTTGCCCAAAAGATGACTAATATTTCCAGATCCAATTTAGGAAGTTTTAGATGGTCATAAGGATTTAATAACCCTATGCTTTTGTTGAGATCAATGATTTATCATTAATTGATTTTGTTTTTCTATTTGCAGAGACCAATTATCCCTGCTGAATTGTATAGAGCAGTGCGAGATTCTCAGCTTATAGGTCTATCAGGTTACTCAAAAGAGGTATATCTATGTTAAAAAGAATAATTTACTACTGTCATCCTGTCATTTTCTTGCTTAAGCGGGTTTTGCAATTGAAAATCTGTTTTGCCATGGCTGTCTATGAGATTTCTTCTTCTTTAGTTTTGTTTCTCCCCGAGGAAATGATTGTCACAAATTCCAACTTATGATTTCTCTTCTTCTCTCTCTTTTATTCTCTTTCAATAAAATCTTCAGGGTCTTCCTGTAATTGCAGTTGGTGTTGGGCTAAGCACATATGACAAAGCGTCTGTAAGTATATTATAACTTATGTTTTTTGGTATGTCAAATATGGAAATTTGTTTGTGGTACCTACTGGATATCTTTTTGTTTTAGGCAAATTATTATCTGCAATCACACATTCAAATGAATGAGTACCGGGATCGTGTAGTGTTGGTAAGTATGTTCTCCTTGAAATCACTTGTTCATTGTTCTATTTCTGGGAGTCTAATTTCTCTACTTTATATATAGCCTGCTGCAACAAAAAAGTATGACCGGCACATTAGTACCTGTCTGAAGATTTTGGATATGACTGGATTAAAGCTGTCAGCACTGAACCAAATAAAGGTATTGCTTGATATTAAGAACATTGTACTATGTCATGCTATGCAAAGTACCGGAAATTATAGGAGTAAAAATGAAATAAGTCGAACTTCCCTTTGAGAAACTTTTGTCAGTTGAATTGGCCAGTTGCATTTCTTTTTGACACATGTTTAACAATCTAACAATCTTCAGGATCTAAATATATAGTAGATCTATCTTATGCTTTTAATAATCCTGTTTTTCTCTCTCTAGAAAAACCTTTGTACAAGTCCTTTACCACAGATACCAGAAAATAAGAGAGGATCAGTCAGTTAATCGCTGTTACAATTATTTTTTTGAAGTGCTTATTCTAATATTTTGATCCAATAATGCAGCTAATGACTGCAATATCTACAGTAGATGACTTAAATTATCCAGAGAAGACTGAAACATACTATATTGTCAATGCCCCTTATATATTTTCAGCATGTTGGAAGGTTTGTATTCCTCCATCACATTTATATCAAAATAAATCTTCACCCTAGCCCGCCCCTGTTCTCAACCCTTTTCTCACCCAAAAGTAGATTAAGGTCTAATAGTTCAGATCTTGGCAGGTTGTAAAGCCTCTTCTGCAAGAAAGGACAAAGAAGAAAATTCAGGTGCTGCAAGGTAATGGGAGAGACGAGTTGTTGAAGGTAAGGAAGGAGTTTATCCTACTGCTAGAACTTGCAGAAGTATGGCAACTTTAGACTGTTATTTGAATTTGATCATGATGCTTTCATAGAATTAGTCTGGTTCTTGTTTTCATAACACACTCCAAATAATTGTTAAACTCTTTGGTTACTTTTCTCTTTGTAGACATTATAAAATATACAGCACTTTGACATTGTTATGCATTTTTTTCAGATAATGGATTACAACTCCCTCCCACATTTTTGTCGAAAAGAAGGCTCTGGGTCATCCCGAAATGGAACTATAGAAAATTGTTTCTCTTTGGACCACACATTCCATCAAATGGCCTACAACCATATGAAACAGCAAGCTGTGCTCATGGAATCCGTTTCTCCAATCAGACATGGCTCAGTTCATGTAGATGTCCCTGAGCCAGACCCTGAAGATGCCAAAATTGCAAAGACCATAGAGTCTGAGTTTCAAAAGCTTGGCAAGAATGGACTCATTAAGACATTGAGCGGCCTCAAATTTGACGGATAATTAGAATTTAGAGAATCCTAATTACAGATTTGTAGTTAATATGTTGTCTTCAGTACCCAACACTTGATGGTCTGTTACTTATTCATGCTGTTGGAGTGACCGAGGCTTTGTACTTCCACCGATTTAATGTCATAGCATTTACTTGCACCAGCTTGATGCAAGGGATGCAATAACTAATTTGTTGTAGCTTAACACTCTCACCACTTTTGTCTGGATTTATCATGTTCTACTGATAACAAGAGTCAGCTCTTCAGATTTTTAAATGCTAGAGTCCTCTACTGCACATTCTAATCTTCTATGTAAGTGTCATTGCTGAAGGCACTGCCTGTATAACCTGAGAATGTCTGCATGAAGTCGAGTACATACAAAGTATCAGTAAGAATACGAACTTTTTTGTATAGACTCTTTCATGAGTATCGAAATAATATTGTATGGTTATAACATAATCTTTTCCAGTTTGTTCGATTTGCTTTTAGTTTTCATTTCTTCAATCAGATCATGTTTCATCGGTTTGTATGCGTTTGAACTTTGAAGGCCATGAATGAGCAAAGCTGATCACGTAATGGATTTTGACCCTGTTCTTCACACAAGCTTCTTTTTTTCACAACTTCAGAACATAAAATCAATACAAGTGAACAAACCAGCAAACACACAACACAATTCTTATAACTAAAATAGAAGCCTGAATAAAGGGCTCCTTGAGGTTAGAAACGGGCAGTGATCCTCGTAATGATTTACAAACCAAAAGCTCCCATAAAACAATATATGGTGCCACCATATATGTACAGGTAGAAACTAAACATAAAGAACAAAGAAATAATTCAAGTTTCAAATACCCTTAATAATAATTTACATATCTGACTAATGCTTTCCTTCAAGCCCTTTTCCCTCATATCCCAGAAAGATCTTCCTGCAGATGCATTACATTATGATGATAACACAAGCAGAAGGCGGTTTTGAGCCATTATACCATTAAAATGAACACACATTCGCTCCATAGTTTTATCCCAACTGTTTGTAGCAACTGTAGGCAACGAAAACAGACACAGCGGCACAGACAACTGCAAGGGTTGCGTAAGTATCTTCACGCTCCCAGCTTTCAAACCATGTTGGCATTGTACATACCTTGCGCGAAGACGGGCTTTTGCCACTACTGTTTTGCGAAAGTAGTTTCTTGCTGCTTGTTTTCTTTTCAGTTGGCACTTTTGCCTTCTCATTAGCAGCCGAATTATCTGGTTTTTCCGGTAGGACGGGGTTCTGACAACAAGAGTCTCCATTTTGCTGGCAACAGCCTGTAAACTCAGCTTGAGATGTACAAGCTGCAGTATTCTCCCCATTTAATTGTCCCTGCAGCGTCACTTCTTTACTGCTGTTCTCCATGTTGGTTTCACCATTTAGTTGGAGCCTCAATTCTTGAGATTTCTTTTGCTCTTCTTCTGATAAACCCATTTGACCCCTGAAATCAAAATGAAAATGTTAGAGAAAACATACTTCAACAAACTTAAGACCCTCTAATCGGATATGGAGCCAAGACAAGAAAATGAGTGTAATTATTTTTGCTATATTATCTATTATCTACTCGTTCTTCTACATGGGTAGTACATCTAGGCTACTTCTTTCTATATCCACTTTCCTCCTCTCCTCTTAGAAGATATAGCAATCACATGGCACATCATTTAGATTACAGGAGCCAACCACAAGTTACTATGAGATCCTATTTTACAGCCAAAACTTATAACAAAAGTTTGATTAGCTACATTGTAATTGTACTCTGCTGTAGACTGTTGAGTACGAGTACTGATTAATGCGTGAAATAAAAAACAGCCACAAAAACCAGTTAACAAATTCTAGAACTTTAAGACAAGTAGTAAAAAAAATAAAAATAAAAACAAATAAAGAAAGAATGAAAAGGTTACCTCCACAGCAAGTCCACAATTTCTCCTTTCCCAATATGCTGCTCAAGTAATAGAGGCACATCATCTGGGGTAACATACCCATACCTGCGAAAAAAAAAAAATCTTCAAATGGTTAGTTTGGTGACAAAATAGTGTAAGGATCGTCCAGGTTGACACTAAATCAGCTTGTATATTAAATACTAAGATATATTAAATCTTTACTAATTTTTTAGAACTCTTTAGATTCTTCCTCTATTCTCTGAGTGTGTTTTGTCCTACTTACATTTTCTTTCCTATTTCTCTTACTTTCTCACCAAGCAAGCATTCTTGATTGATAATTCGCTGAAGAGATCATAAGATTCTTCATCATATCCAGTAATACTATAAGCATTGTGATTAGTTGTACCTTTATGCTAACAAATTACAGAAAAGCTAAAAGTTGGCTTAAAGCAATCAATAAACAGATCGATTTTTCCCCTTACCAGTGTCCAGTGACTTTTGCATTGATATTTGATCCAAATATAATGACGTTTCCGGCATACTTGTGCCCCCCAATGTGTGAGCAAGGGCTAACAGACACTTTCCCCTGAAGACCATGAGTTTCTATTTCTTCTTTGAATCTACTAACTAGTGGAGGTCCACAAACTCCACAGCGACGATCTCGGGACCCATGAGAACAAACAAATACATACCAACCCTTAAGTGTTTCAGGGGTACCAGGCTGCCATTCACCATTCTTTACAAGCACTTCTTCAACAAATGTGTCGACATCAAAATGAGTCAATCTCCTGCATCATTCACTACATCAAATTCAGTAATAAAGTAGGAAAAAAAAAAAAGACTTTTGAGGAGAAAAAAATCTAAGAATACTTTCAGGAGAGAGAGAGAGAGCTAGTAGTTGACCTGTATCTGATCATGTCTGGGAAAATTAATACATCCCCATTAGATGTTTCTGTTCCATCATGACCCTCACATATTGTTAAGCGGGTCTGAAGAAAAAGAGGTGACAATGATAAGTTAAGAAGAAGAATATCAACCTCAGAGAACATAATTGTAAGCATAAACCAACCCAAGAGTATCACCATGCTATCCTTTATTCGCCTACCACCGAATATCAAAATTTAAAATCTAGACACAAAATTATAGTCAAGCTAATAAAACATCAGAAAAAGGCATCCCCACCACAAGATGAATTTGAAAGAAACAAATAAGTACTTATTTTCTCCCTGACCAGACGGTTAAAATTTGGTAGTCTTCACAATACACCAGAGTAGATAATTCTTCCGAATAGAAGATTCAACGAAAGAAATTCATTCATAAAAGCACTTAAAAATCCAATAAATACAGTCGATTGCATTTCCTACCTCTCAAGCACATTATTTGAAATAAGTTGATACAAGGCATGCGACTTCTTTGATACCAAAATTGGTCACGAACTTTTTTAAAGTCAATCATCAGAATTAATCTTCCAAAAATTTCGCTTCTCATTGCAAATTTTAATCTTCTAAAAATTGAGATATTATAAATGCTGCTTTCACATATAGCATAAATTTTCCATGACATTATTGGACTTTGCATATTTGGTCCAGTTGGGACCATAATCAAAGGAAAAGACAACACAAAGCATCATTAAGATAGTTATATGACCACTAAAGGAAGATTCAGCACTATCCGAAATACCATTTCCCTCCTTATCCACACAATAACCTTAAACGCGAAAGCTAAAATTATTAAAGTATGACAAGTAATAGTATTTTTTTGATGTATCTAAGGCAAATCTAAGCATTTTTAATTAATAAGGCAACTTTTTTACTGAAAACTCAGATTACTCATTACCAAACCCTAGCCTCTACTACGAAACTTATTCACCAACATTCACAATCCTCAACCCACGTCTCTGAATCACCCCATGAAAGACTCAATCACAAGATACCAGAGACTTAAAATCACTGAAAAGCTAAAACCAGCTCATGTCGAAGTTCAACCGAGTTCATAGTAAAACACCTAAAGTGTATCCCAACATACAAAAGCAACTTGCAAAGCACCAAAATCAACTTCAACTCAGAAAATCTAAACGAATGCACATTGAAAATCAAAACAGTAAGCAGAAATCCCTTAAAAATCAAACAAAATAAACCCACATCCCGAAAACCAAAAAAAACAAAAATAAATAAATAAATAATTCACCAGATTTGGAATAAACCAACAAGAAAATGTTGCTAAATCACTCCTCAAGAGACAGCCAGTCCACAAAGCAACCAAAAACTCTCATCATTTTAACGGAAATGAAATAAATTCACATCAATCAAAGCCTGAAGCCCCTCTTATCCAAAATTGAAAATAACAATCAAAGCTTGAGCCCCTTAATGAACTAATCAAGCACCAAACAACCATTCTCAAAGCATAAATCAAATACACAAAACATTAAGAACCCACATCAATTCCTCCAAAAAAGAAGAACAAACCGACATCATTTAACTTGAAATGCTGAATAAATCCACAACAATCAAAGCTTGACGCCCTTTAATCCAAACTAAAAATAAAAAAAATAAAAAATAAAAACTTTAAACCCCAAATCAAGCACCTCAACCCACTCTGAAAACACAATAAATTCACAAACCAAAAAGAATCCTCATGATTCATCCAAATAAAACAAACCCACATCACCAATAACAAACACACAAACCTGTCTCTTCATATCAGCCTTTCTAGAACCAACAGCAGCCGCCAACAACCTCGGCAACCGATCGAACTCAGCAGCTTCGATCCTCGGCGGCCACACAACGGGGCTCTTATAACACAAGAACACGTGGCGCTGATAAAAATCAACCGTACCCTCGAGTTGACTCAGCCTGAACTCGGGTCTAGAGAACCCGAACTCAGCGTCAACACAACTGTTACTAAGAACACTACCACTCCCTTCACTCAAAAGGGTATCATTTTGGAAGCTATTAGAAGCGCTTCCGATGAGAGAAGCGCTTCCCGGGTCAGCGTACAAGCTGTCAAGCTGCTCGGAGACCGTGATTGGCGAAGAAGAAGATGTGAAATTCAAGGGCTCGTCTCTACTGGACATTGTGGGTGAGTCACTGAGATTTAAGCGAGTTAGAGAGTGAGTTTAGTGATACTGAGTGAGTTCCGGTTGCATAGGAAATGAAGTGAAAATGCTTGTGTTAAACATAAGACTGCGGACTATTTGGTTTTGTTGTTGAGTTTCCTCATTTTTTAGAGAGACACGTGGCGTAACGGGGATGTTCTTGATGGAGATTAATGTAAATAAATTAATTAATTATAAACAACCATTTTCATTGGACTTATTAAATAAAATAATAATTGGGGGGAATTTTAATGTTTTTTTGGGCCTTTCGTGCGCCGTTCCTTCCGACTACGGCCGCGGCGGTGATTGCTGACAGCAACGGCGGCAGGTGGGTGGGGGTGATGGTTTGGATGGACTGTAATTTATTTTGAATTTAAAGATAATTTTATCTAAAAGTTAATTAATCGGAATAAAATAGTAACAGTTATATTCATGTTAATAAATTTAAAAATAAAGATATTATTGTCATAAAATTTTATTAATAAAAGATAGAGTTGTAATTAAAAAAGATTATTCTGATAATCTTATTATACCTAAGAAAATAGAAATAATCAGATTACTTCCGATATTACCAAGTAATTATTATTAGTATTTAAAGATTATCGGAATCTTATATTACTTAATAACTAAACAAAATAATCAAGTAATATAAAATTACATAACTCAAATAATCTCACGCTACCCAGACCAAAACCCCTAGGTTTATAATAATATCTATAAATTTAATGGATAAACAATTGAAAAGCTTTTCATATTTTGAACCCTTTTATTTTGGAAGCCTAGGGGATTGGCTCTGACTTTTGAGATATTTTGGATAGATCACGGGATCTTTTACAGAAAAGAGTAAGCAAAGCTGTTTCATTCAAGTTTAGTTAGCTGTATTTGCCACGTTATGAAACTTCACAATGGAAAGAATAGCCAGGCAATTGGGAAATGGAAATTACAGATAGATGTTTTCAGATGGTATTGCTAGAGGAGACTTTTTCTAATGAAGACATGAACTTGATTATCTTTCGCGCTTCAAAGTGTGAACTGGAAACTCAAACATAGTTTTGATATAAGTTTGATTTTCTGTATGTTATAATACCAATAAATGTATCTGAGATCTGCTCTGGTTATGGAAAGAAAAAATCGATTATCCTTGACAGCTTCGAAGAAGAGCTAAAGGAATCTACTAAAAATGCGAAGCAATAACAAAGCTTAACAATGGAGAAAATTTTCAATCGATGAAGCTAATATCCATATACAAGTTCACACTTCCATAATCTTACAAAAGAAGATCATATTCAAATAAGCTTAGTAGTTAAAGATCAACTCTTTCAGGAAGTTGCTACCAATCTCATCTTGTGGCATTTCTTTTTCTCTCTCAAACGGACTAAATAACAGAAATTTGATTCTACTGGTCTCTCACATGTACACACAACCAAGGGCTTAAACATGTTTTTCCCTGAACCGTTCATAATCACACAAAGGTCTGGCAAACACAAATGTCATACAGGATTTTCACCAGGCAGATAAGATGGTGACCCGCCTTCAATTTGGTTCTTTTTCCGATTAAAGAAGCTGATACTAGGCATGAGAGCTTTCTTTGACAAAGAAGTCTTCTCTTTTTCCATCTTCCGGACCTCAATAATTTTCTCTGATGAATTCTGCTTTTGAACCCGATAGTGGTGTGGAGATGCCTGTGATGACATCTCTGTTTCTGCAAGAATCCGAGCTGCAGCTTCAGCTGCCTTCTTTTGTTCCCGTTCACGCCACCTCCGGAGCTCTCCCTCAACTGCCCTCTTGGCTGCTTCAGCCATTTCTGCCCTCTTTAAAGCCTCTTCAGTGGCAGCCTTCATGTCCTCAATCTCCTTCTGAGTTGCCTCTAACCTCTTCAGGGCCTCATTTTCACTAGCCTTCACAGCTTCCACCTGGGCTATGGCAGCAGCCACTTTCATTTCTGCTAATGTGTCAGACTCCTCAACTTTACGGCTCAGAGACTCAAATTCTTCTCTAGAGATGGTTATTTTAGCACCAGACTCAGAAGTTGATGCTCGTGCAGCATGAGCTCTCTCCGACAAGGTCTTAATCTGATCAAGGGCCATTGCCTCTGCTCCTTTTGCTTCTTCAGCTTCTTCCAGAGCAGCTTTCAGCTTCTTCTCTGCTTCTTCAAGCGCAATTTTGGTGGCTTCAGCTTCATTCCTCAACTCCTTAGCTCTGTTCTTCATATCTTCAGCTTCTTGTTTTGCATTTTCTGTTTCCAAAGATAGCTGTTTAAGCGTTGAGATCATTTCTTCAGAAGCACCTCTTATTTTAGATTCCTCCGCAAGGCATGCTTCAAGCTCAGACTTACTTTTACGGAGTTTGACATGCAGGTTCCCAGCAAGAGATTCAGTTTCAGTTTCCTTCTCCTTCAGTTCAGAATGCTCTTTCTTCACGTTCTCAAGCTCCTGCTTAAGAGACTCCACCAAGCTATGCAAGGAGCTTTCCTCATCTGCTACTTTCAGCAGAGACCCCTTTGCATCATCCAACTCCAAAGTAACAGTTCTCACAGAATCTAAATCTGAAGCCTTTTCATTTTCCATCTGCTTCTGCAGAGCTGCAACCTCATTCATTGTTTCAGTCAATTGTGTTTCAAGATTTTTGGTTAGTTCAGGATCAAACTGATTCTTCAAAGCATTCAATTTTTTGGCCGACTCTTCCAAAGTCGCTTTATATGATTGCTTCTGAACATCCTTGTCAGTAAATACTTTTGCTTGCTCTTGCTGTGTTTGCATAGTTGCAAGCTTCACTTGCCCAATTGATTCCTGCACAGCAGATATTTCCTTTGAGAGCTCACTAACTCTTTCCATGTTTGCTTTTGCAGCATTTTCTGCTTCAGCCGCGAGATTGAAGGCAGTGACTTTTGCTTCCAAGGTTGCATCACAGTTCTGACGAATTTTCCTCAATTCTTGCTTTGCAGCATCCAGTTCATTAGCCACAGTCATATACTTCTCCCTTGCAGTTTCTAAGTCCTGTTCCCTATCACCTTCAGATCCTGCAGGGTTGCCACTATTTGATTCCTCAATCTGCTTTGCCTGATTCTTCGCAGCTTCTGTTGCCTTAATTGCCGAATCCTTGGATTCATTAAGGACTTGGAGTTTGTTGTTGAGATCATCAACTGTTCTTTTTACTTTTTCAAGTTCAACAAATGCTTCGGCCTTGGTATTTTCGGCATTTTTCAGTTGGTCCTTTAACTTGTTTAGCTCTTTCTGGGCCAAGTGAAGCTGTGTCTCCTTGGCCAACACTCTCTGCCAATAGAATGGAAAAATTATAAACAGTACTTCAAAATAAAGAGAATCTAAATATGTTATATCTATTACAATATGACTGGTACTAGAGAAACTAAACACTTTAGAGAAAACAGAAGAGAAGTATTTATCATCGAGACATTTAATAATAATTAAATGAAGCAAAGCCGTAGCAACAGCCAGCTTGCTTACTCCATTGAGCTTTATCTTGAATACAGCGGCATTTAATTTAAGCATAATAATACTACCATAATGTTCGTGGAGTGTGGATGCCTATTGTTTTTAAGTTTACTTTAGTTTGTAACACTCAGAATCCTGTGCAGGCCTAATAACTCTTTCTTTAATAATCCACTGACCAATGAGTCATTCCAAGCTAAGAAAGCTCATACGCATTTTATCAATTTAGTAAGAAATCCTGAAAATTATCCATGGGAATAGGCAGTGTACAGATATAAACTATTGCAAGATGTAAAAGATAAGAAAAAGGAATACCTCTGCGGAATGAGGTTTCACCTTCCTGATGGCAGGTTTCTCCCCAGACAAAGCACCCTCACCAAAGAGAGTTACAGCATCTTTAACAGATTGAAATGGTGCACTGGTGTCTATCTCTCCCACCTCCACCCTAGGTGAGTCTGTATTATTTTGACGTCCTTTTGCCACCATAATGTTTTATTGTTTGTATTATTTCTTAGAAGCCTACCTGCTGAAAACAATCAAAAAGATGATTTCAAATTGGATGAAGAAGAAATCAAATTGATGATCACCAAAAGGTCACAACATATTGAACATACACAGCAAACAAAAGATGCATCACAACCAAAATATTAACGCTAATGTAAAATTCTGAAAGATAATACACAATACCGTAGACACCCAACTAGTAAATACACAATACCGTAGACACCCAACTAGTAAAAGCAAGATATAAGGCCTAAAAACTCATCCACAGCTGTGGCATTAATCAGAACATAAAAGACACAAATGAACATCACCACTTTATAACCATATTCGTTTTTCACACCCATTTCACACCTCCTCAACTGAAGCAGAAAGAAAAAGATATAAACAGAACATGGAAGAAAATTTAAATCATCCTCCAAACTTGTATTATCAGACCATATAGGCTGCTACAGATCAACAATTGTTCAACAAGCACATCAAACCATAGGCCAGACTTCCTTAACCAATAAAGCACGAAAAGTCAATCAAAGTGATTAACCATCATTGCAAATGCATTTAACTACTAAATATTTTGCATTAAATGACCACAAGATACAAACTAAACAATCCCCAACAATCCGAGCACTACTTAAAACAGATTGCTTTCAGTTCACCTTTCATAAGATCTCTTAACAGGATGTTAAGCTCCTCTACAACATGAGTATGGAGACAGAAGTTACCCAGATCAACCATTATCAAAGAATTTCACGGCAACCACCATACCAGCCACAAACCTATCGACTTCAAGAAACCCCAATCTAATTTCAAAGAGATGCATCCTCAAAAATCTTTTACCAGCACTTTAAAATCGGTGATTTCCCATGCACTCCATAATATGCCAGCATAATAAATGTCAAGAAGTTAATAGGTTCTTAACGTAACCTCCAACAAGAAACATAACCCTTGAAATGAAATTAAAAATTAAAACTACAAATTAGAAAACACTCTTCATCATTTCTTGACCAGAAAGATTTCAAATACATTATGCAATAATACTAGCGTTGCTAAAGTAAGTAAAACTAGATACATGGTTCTAACAGACTGATGCAAATATATTTCAATTACTCTTTAGTTAGTATTTCTCTTTCAGAACTTCAAGCTCAAACATTAACTCAACAACAAACGAACAACAAACTATCATAAACTATCAGTACATTTACAATAAATAAACATTCAAGACAGCAACAACAACGACATGTCACATCACAAAAACAAATGAAAACCAAAACCAAAACAACAAAAACAAAAATAAAAGAGACAAACTTGAAAACATAAGAAGAACAAAGAACACACCTTTAATCGCCTATCCACAAAACCCTAATCCCTTAAAACCTAAAAATTATCAAAAGTCAAAACCCCAGAAAGCCACTTGTAATAAAGCACCAGTCTTCACATGCTCACACAAGCCCGTGATCATCTTCTCCGATCTTCATGCTTTTCTTTCAAAACGAAAAAAGAAAAACAAAAGATACCCTCTTTACTTTTTCACTCAAAGAATATAACCCACCAAGGATTTCTCCAGCTGTGCAAGAATTCAGAAGAAACCAAAATTTTCTCCGCCCAAGAAAGATTCCGGGAAATATGGCAGGGGTGGAATCAAGTACCTTTTTATTTCTCTTCTCCTGCCGTTGAAACAACTGTTTAATTTACACACAGAGAGAGAGAGAGAGAGAGAGAGAGAGAGAGAGTTTGAAAAATGGAAAGATGTTTGAAGACAAATTTTATATAAGCAAATCAGTGAAGAGAGAGAAAGAAAGAAAGAGTATTTGAATAGTGTTTATAGAGAGAAAGATGTGACATTCTCAAAGTTGTATCTCTCGGGAAGAGTTGAATTTCAAAAATAAAATATTTAAAGGGTAAATTTGGTAAAAATGTACACATTAATGCAGCATGAGAATGTTTATCTCGTGTAATTTTTTAATTAATTCAGATTTGATTATAAATGTCTCAATCAATAATAAAAAACTTGAAAATCAACCAAAAAAAAAAAAGATAATGTCATTAAGGGTTGTAATTAGGTTTAATTGTATAATATATTTAGAAATCTTTGGATATCTTTTATATACTTAATTTATGCAATAGCTCATTTTATGAGCAATTTTATCACAAGAGTGTTCCGATATATGGATACAAATGTCATTTCAAGTGAACTTCAGATCCCTTCATTAACGGTGTAAGAGAATCATAATTTAAGGGTAGATTAGGAATGAAACGGGTATTGATCTACAACGAATTAATATTCAAGCTATATATACGTCACTTATGTTGGGAAAAAACATCAAAACACATACAATAATGAAGCAAAAAAGTCAAGAAATTTACCTTGACTATGTCCAACATTCAAGATGGAGAAGACTTTATTAAGTTTCAGACATATGCAGTAATAAAACAGTAGAGAGAACAATTCACTTATTCTCTCCTCCCTCTCAATATGTTCTCACATTAGGTTTTTCACTATTACAATATGCATATAATAATAAATCTAACCCTAAAAATAAAATTTAAGAGTTTGAACGAGAGCAAAAAGAATTTTGTCTAAAATGTACAATAGAGAGTAGTACAAGAAAACTTTTGAATTTGAAGAGAGAAGAGGAGGAAGGTGAACAAAAATGGCACCGGCCAAGACAAAGAAAATGTGAGAATGGCAAATAATAATGATAATGGAGAAAAGTGAAGACATAATTTGGAAGGTAATACTAATGGGTTCATCTTTTGTTTCTATCTTTTCAAGTATGTCACCAAAATAAAGTTAAGCATGTGGGGTTTGGATATTCTTGCTCGACCTGTCCATGGACCTTAGATATGCTCATCCACTTTTTTAAGTATCCTACTTTCTAAAGTTTTAATTCAATATTTATAGCCCTACCTAATAATTATAACACCTAAATTTCATGCTCGCTTTTGCGTTATGATAGTATATTATTTATTCTATGTGCTTAGCATGTCGTGCTAGAGGTGTTCGGTTCTGGGTATCCTGTATTTTTTAAAAGAACTAAAACTGACGATTCCTTAAAATTTGGAACCAGAACCGACAATTCCGGTTCCAAGATACCAAAAACCAGAATCTATAACAACGGTTCTGGGTATCCTGTAAAATTTATGACCCCCCAAAAGTTTTTAAAATGGTAAAAAAACACTTAAAAACTTACAAATACCCCCCCCCCACCTGGCACTTGTTAACAAAAAATAAAAAATTATAAATTATAAATTCAAAATTATAAACTCCATGACTTTGTAAAGGTAGATTCTCAAAAGTCCAATCAACTTACTTTAAATATTATGAAATATAAATATAAATGTATTAACATTACTTTTTCTACCAAAGTTTTTATCAACCATCATAATCTTTAATTTTATTTTATATTAGTCTCGGTTCCTGGTTTCGGTTTTGGTTCCTAACTATAGGAACCGAAATCAGAACCGCATAATAATGGTTTCAAAAATTTAGAATTGAAACCTACCCATTGACGGTCGATTCTAGGTAGGAACCGGAACTAAATCCCAGGTACCCATTAGTTCCGGTTCCAACAGGTTCTTTTGAACACCCTTATGTAGTATTGTAGAATTCTAACCTTGTATCATAACCTATGAGCCAAGGACAATCTCAAATAGACAGTTTTTATGGAACATAAACCTCCTAAAAGGTAACGAAGGTGTTGCAAAGGTTTACTCGGGCTGGACAGAGATTGGAGCTTGACTATAAGACCCACTTGTTGAGGAGGGATGAAAGTCGGCCTTAGTGATCCAACAGTGTCGAGTGGAAGGATCATGGCTCGACAGATAAAAGTTACTCTGTGTAAACTTAGGGAGTGATCCTTGAAAAAGTTTAGCCCTCTCATCTCTAATCCATTTAATTTGGTAATTGACAAGAAGAAATTAAGTCAATTTCCCTTTACCAAATTTATGAAAAATCACACTAAATAAGTATGTGGTTGAGCTACTTGGACGATTAATTAATTGATTGAGACCATCCAATTAAATCTGTGAGTCAAGATAGGATTAAATGAAGGGTAGACTCAAGTCAAATAAGAAGCAGGAAGAAGACAAGACAGCTTGAGAAATTCCAAGCTTTTAGAAAAGGCCATAATCCTGGAATGGGCCTGGGCCTTTGACTCTGCAAAAACTGGAACCCCAATGATGAATATCCAAAGAAAAGCAGCTCAGTTGCATGGCTGCCATGTGTCAATCCAATTTGGCACATCAGCATGACAATTTTGCAACGTGTGGAATTATAATGATCATGCCACCGAGTGAGCTAGGTAAGTTAAATTCTGAAGATAATTGCGGAAAAATCCTGAAAAAATGGCGACTATCAAAGAAGAATATGATTTACAATGCAGCTAAGAAGCAGGAAAGGAACCCAGAAAAGAGAATTTTACAAGCGTATTACAAGGGCATGGCGGCCATGAACATATTGGCAATGAGAGAGTGTTTCTGAGAGTGGAGAAGATGCAGAAGGATGAAGAAGTAGAACAGAATGAAGAAGAAATTCATGCAAAGGTTGAAGATGATGGATCAGGAGATGTGGCTGATAATTGCCATGGCTGCAAGCAACAAGCTGACCACCTCAAATGTTTACACTGCTAATTTACATAAATAAATATATAACATTATATAATTATATATAAAATGTTGTATTTGGAGTGTTGAATGCTCGCACTTTGGCATCAAGATTTCTGCTGTGAATATTACAAGGTTTTTCTCTGTACATTCTGCGGAACTGGAACCCGTTGTAGTTAATATCTGTACTTGGCATTATTCATGCTCTTAGGTAAAAATTATTTATATAATCTATTGTATGATAAAATCAGAGCGAATAATTCCTCTTTTGGCCTGAAGTTATTTTGTTATATAGACTCTACGATCAAAGCTGAAGACATCGTTATTTGCTGTTTGAGATTATTTCCAGTTCAATATAGTAACATGTAAACACAATCTTGTAACATGTATTATATTAAACCAATTATAATCTATTTTGGGGGATTCGAGAGAGACTGAGTTATAGACTAAGAAAAGAGAGAACGCAAGAGGAAAACTAGATAGATAATTCTTTGTAACTCCGAATAACTTTACGTAACTTAACTCTTTAATATACTCAATAATATAAGACTAAACGTAGGTTTTACATTATAAGAAGTTGAAGTCGAATCACTTTAAAATGTATTTCTTGTTTTTTGTTATTTTATGATTATTATTGTACATTCATTATCGTATTATTTTATTATTATTCTATCAGGATCACGTACACACCTCACGTGATTCTGGTATTATCAATCACGTATCTCTTATTGGTGCAATTTTTTGCATCAACATAATCTCTAATGCTAATTCATACTAAATCTTGATTACATTATGTCATCTTTTGGATTTTATGAAAATTACATATACTAATTAATCTAATATTAATTCAACGGCATGAGATGTTGGACTCAAAATGGTCGTGGCAGATTAAAAATTTTAATTAATTTATGATATCCAATGAATCAGTTGGTTTGTCATATTATGCTTTAATTATTTGACATTATCTCCTTATCCTTGATTAATAAAATTTAAAGTATTAAAAGTAAGAGGTTTGGTCGGCAAGGGAGACTAGCACTTTCTCGAGATCTGATTTTATTAATATGAAAACTTTCTCGTGAAAAATTATTGTTCTTACTCTTGATAATTCACCTACAGTTTCAAATATTGCAAATTCCCACTCAATTTTAAATTTCAAACATTAAATTTAACAATTAATAGGATATTTAAGTTTTCTTATCCCAAAAATAGAAAACCTGATCTTTCTCATTCCCCCAAATTAGTAAACTTTCAAAATAACCTTCCACATCTCAAAATTTTCTCATTTCTAACTCTTAATTCCTCTCGGCCTTCAACTCCACCACCACCACCAACACCAACACCATCGGCAACTAGACCTGGCAGCCATGGAGAAGAGGAAAGGAGAAAGAGAGAGAGAGAAAAAGGAGAGAAAGAGGTGGAGAAGAGATAAGGAGATAGAGAGAGAAATAGGCTAAAAAGAGGAAGGTTAAAGAAAAGAGTGTTATTGAAATAAATTTAAAAAGAAAATGGCTATTTTTTTAATTCTATTAATTGAGAGTTATAAAATAATTTATTAATTTAGTCATTATTATAATAAGGGGTAAAAAGAGTATTTAAGTTAAAAAATGGGTGGAAATTTACAATTTATGAGACCACGGGTGAAAACTATTAGATTTGCCAAACCTTGATTGGGTAAATGTCGGTTACTCTTGTTTTTATCGATTAAGTTAAATCAGCTTGCAGCCATCAAATAGCAACAACTCCACCGTGCGTGACCATTTCCAAAATAGATGAAACATGACCCGTCCACCGTCCATGACAAAAAGGGAACCAATCAAGGAAATCAAACAACTTAGATGATGCTGATTTTGCATACAAATGCTGATTTTCCAAATAGATGCCTGATTTTTGGCATCTTCTTCTTATTCTTTTTCTTCAGCTGTCGTCATAGCGTGTCCACCAACATCATCTTTTAGGAAGATATTTGATATTCAAGATGAAGGGGTTGACGTAATAGTTAAAGAGCTTTATTATCTTCCTTAAGTTCAAAAGTTTAAATATTACAATCATCTATCATAATAACATCATGATTTATCTGATTCTTTAAGTTTGTAGGGTG